ACTACATCAACATTATTAATTCTATCATTACGTATTAATTATCTACTTATTACGAACGAACCATCTATGCATAATCATCGTTATAATGAACAGCACGATCATCACTGCTATCATTATCATTATTATCATCACTATCATCAACACTACTATTACTCACTCGTTATTCCATCATTATCAATCCATCATAATTAATTCCTATCTAAGCATTTATAACACTAATTTAACCATTAATAACACTAATTATAATAACCATCTAATAATAATAATAATGATAATAATAATAATAATAATAATAATAATCTAATAATAATAATAATAATAATAATAATAATAATAATAATAATAATAATAATAATAATCTAATAATAATAATAATAATAATAATAATAATAATAATGATAACCATTAATAACACTAATTACCTGCTTTACTAATCTTTTTCTTCTATCCTTCACACTCTCCACTCTCCCGGATTCACTATCTGGCATTGTTCTCGCGTTCAGGAGAGAGAACAGAGAACAAGCTTTCTGAAAACGAAGTAATTATAAATTTTAAAATTCGGAAAAGAAATGAGCGAATTATTTTGCCTTGTTTGATAGGAAGCTTACATCTAGGCTTGGAAATATGTGTGTATGTGGACACAGGCAGACACAGACACACACACAGACACACACACACACACACACACACACACAACACACACACACACACACACACACACACACACACACACACACACACACACACACACATATATATATATAATATATATATATATATATATATATATATATATATATATATATATATATATATATGTATATGTATATGTATATGTGTATCATACATATGTATATATATATATATATATATATATATATATATATATATATATATATATATATATACACACACACACACACACACACACAACACACACACACACACACACACACACACACACACACACACATATATATATATATAATATATATATATATATATATATATATTATATATATATACATATATATACATATATACATATACATATGTGCATATATATACACAGTGTGTGTATATATGTATACATATATGTATGTGTATGTAAATGTATACAGATATAGATATATATTCATATATTCATATATTCATATACGTAAACATACACACAGAAATGAAAATACGAACACAAACACAAACACACAAACAAAATAACAAAAGTATATTTACCTAAACAAACACACACACACACAAAAAAGCACACCCAATCACATACAAGAATATAATGGTTAATAAGATAAACATCTAAGGTCATATAGCACTATAGGAAGGTATAGTAAAGGGGGATGTCAGGTGATAGTTGCTATGTGTCAACTATCTAGAGTAGTGTTGAAAGGTTGAAGACGAGGGAAAAGATTATGGTGGTTGAGGTAAGGGAGTTAGATCAAGTGAAGGATATTTATGCGTCTGAGGAAGGAGAACAGGTTGTCGAGGCAGAAGCTGTGGGATTCTGTAAGGATGTCTGATATGTTGGGAGGTCGGCGAAGGGAGGATAGGTGTGGAAAAGCAGAGGTACGTGCTGTGTTAAAGCGTGGACAGGACTAGAGAATGTGTGGGACTGAAAGAGGGACGTTACATAGAGGACATAGGGGCGGGTCTGACCGTGACATCAGAAAGGCGTGTGTTGAGGCGGATGTGGCCAATACGTAAAGTTGCTGTCACACTAGCACTTTTTCCGTCATATTTTTTTTTTTACAATTTTCTGAAATTTTGTCCATTTTTGAGCGAATTGTCGATTTTCCAGTCAGACGATAATGATCGTTTCCGTCTGAAAACCTTTCCGTCAACTATTTCAGCCAAGCATACTCAAATCAAGTTATATTCGAGAATGTTTGTATTCATGTTCAATAAAATTGTCAAAAAATTGACGGAAAAAGTGCTAGTGTGACAGAACTTTTAATAAGCGTGCGTGGGCCGTCTCCCAACGTCTGTTTTTTTTATTTTTTTGTGAATAGAGCTGACCATACGAGAATATAAACAAACCTATACACACGACCCCCGCTCTCTCTCTCTCTCTCTCTCTCTCTCTCTCTCTCTCTCTCTCTCTCTCTCTCTCTCTCTCTCTCTCTCTCTCTCTCTCTCTCTCTCTCTCTCTCTCTCTCTCTCTCTCTCTCTCTCTCTCTCTCTCTCTCTCTCTCTCTCTCTCTCTCTCTCTATTTTTGTTCTCTCTCTCTTTCTGTTTTTTTATCTGATCTTCAGGTATCAGTCAAAATGTACAGGCAGATAAATGAAAAGATATATATATCATGTATATACATCAACTAATGTGATTCAGTAAGCTTGAGATACAATGGGGGTCCGTAGTAAGGTTTTCGTGTCGAGTTTTGCACTCTCCTCATCTCAAGCTTAATAAGTTACGTCGAGTTGATGTGTTAAAGTTCGAGGTTCTCCGGTTGAGTGAAAGTGTTCTGTGACGCTAGCACTTTTTCAGTCTTTT